TATTTTGCTAACCCATGAGCTCCGGGTGCCTTATTCACAACAAACTGAATGATGTACATGGTACCAGAGTAATAGTACAGCACTGTTGGGGTTATTTTTAAGTGCAGACACTCAGATTACTTAATAGCCATTTTTAATAAAACAATATATAAAATAGATGTTCTAGTTACCTGAATAGCACAGTCTGGATTACTTTGGGGCTAACCAGCTTGCGGATATGTGTGGAAATAAATTCCTCAACCCTGTTCTTACCGAAGTCAATAGCAAAACTTCCATTTCCTTCAATAGGAACAGGACACAACCCTATGCTGCTATGTGTACATTTAAGAGAATTCCATGGATAAACCTGAATTGAAATACTTTTGCTACCAGACAATAACCATAACTGCCTCCAAAATACCCACAACTGGGTCTGATCCTAGAATTGTTTGGTGAACAGGAACCCCAATTGAAGCCAAAGGGAACTTTCACGTGGAAGGTCTGAAGCCACATTCTGAGAGCCAGGAGTTAGTTGGACTTTGGCGCTACAATTAAAAGTTGGTGTTTCTGCAGCAGACAGTCAACTTTTCCAGTGCATCCATGCCTTTGGCAGAAATACCACACAAGGCCATTTCCTGAACATTTTGGGGGCTTCTCAATACCTTTCGGATAAATGGTGGTTCAGGTAATCCTGAAAATTATTGAATAAGTGCTTCATGCCAGGAGAGATACAACTGAACTTCAGATAAGAGGAGGGCTTTGTGGAGTAAATAGTGTTGGATAAATAGGATTTTAAATGTACTACACTGAGTGGTAATACTTGTGGGAACATCATCAAAAAAATAAGTTGGCTACTCCCCAGAAGTAGCCAACCGCAAAATGTCCTTGGGCTTTGGCACCCGCCAATGTTCACCGCTGCCCACATTTTTCTAAACGTATTCAAAGCATGTATAGAAAAAACAATCTGCATTAGTAGTACATGCCATTTGGGGGGCATTTCCCTTTACAGTTTTCATAGTTACATCTTCCAGGTGCACAAAAAAACTAGAGCCAAATCACAAGGAGCCAGATTCTGCTAGACTAGCACCTTACTCCACAAATATATCCATTGAAATCAATAGGACTGCTTGAGGAGTAAGGTTTCTTACTCTAAGTTAAGAATTTGTATAAGCTTGTGGCCTTAAACTTGTACACTATGCTCACTGAGTGCAACTGTATATAAATGAGAGACAGTTCCATTCTTTTCTTAACATCAAATAAAGACAGAGAAGGCCTAATCCACAGCCCACTGAATTCAATGAAAAGACTCCCATTGGATTCAACAAGCTTTTGATAAGGGTCATAAGCAGTTTGCAGTTTTATTAGCATATTCACTTGGTGTTATGTTTGTTGACATAATGCTATTATGATATAAAATGCTAGCATACTACAGTGCAATCAGTATAGCATTAGATGCACTTGTGGAACTGAAATATACCCTAAAATGTCTCAGATATAAAGTGATACCAATGACCTAATATGATACATTTGAAAAATATCAAAGCAAGTACTGTATCTTGTATTTTCAAATTTTCCAAAATTGCTCATCTCTTTTTTTTAAACATACATTCCTTAAAGGATGTTGAGGATTTTTACATTTTATCACTGAGGTTAAGGGGGAGTTGAACTAAATATGAAGTTCATTAAAGTATGTCATACAATAAGCACTGATGTCATGAACAAGTGTAAGCTTTGTGCCCTACAGGAAAGTACATGTTATACCACTTGCAGTAATGAATGCTACAGTTAAGGTTGCAAACTGACTTTCATTTAGTATCAAGCAGGATATAGTGTGCTGCAGGTCCCTATGCTTACATAATAATTATACTTACAATTAATTTGTAATACTTTTTCAAAATCACATTAAAAGCTCCTTGCCAGCTTTGAAGTAAAGAGAAAATTGTTCCCTCCAAGCTGGCCCTTTAAGGGAGCAGAATGGCCAACCAGATAGCCCGTAACAGGCAAGTGCCTCCAGTCAATGACAATGATACACTAAGGAGGAGCAATAGTTGCTTCCATCTTGCATGGGGAATGAGCAAGTGTTCGTCTTACTTGTCTTACAACATGGCTGCAGGTGAAGGGCACCAGATCACTGTATTGATATTTTAAATATTATATTTATTACATTGCACCTTCCTGCATTTGCCATTTTAGTGAAATGAAACTATGGAAAATCTCAGCATAGGAGAAATTTAATTTAACAATAGTTGTTTGGAAACTTTTATTCTATATGGGATCACAGTAAATAGTAACAGAGAATCTTTATTGCATAGCTTACTTGCTTTTTTTAAAATGAAGAATATATATAAACAAACTGTTAGAAGTACAGTCATTTATGAAGGTGCCTTTCATACTATAATCTAGTATAATATTCATATTTACTTAGAGTCACTTTTGTAATGTACTGCAGTATGCCAAGGGACATATGATAGCATGTATTTCTATTCTGTTTTACTCAGCAAGTCACACTTTAATACTGTACAATGAGTCTCCAAATAAAAAGTTAATACTATTCATAGGTGTAAACTAAATAAAGATGTACCCAGAACTAGACTTATCAAAAATACCCTCTCATTCCTAACTTTTTAGGAATATATAAAATCGTTGGGCTGAATGAAATCCATTTTGGTCCATCCACCCCTTTCAGTTAGCAGTTGTTAGCATTTTCCCCAACAGCATTAAATATTTGCCTTGTTTTTTATCTTTTTTAAAAATTATTTATACTAGCTGCTTCTGTTTATGACCTTTATAGTTCATTCAACTTATTAGGTTTCATTTAATATAATTCTCTCCAAATTTGTTTTGTTCTCATTTTTCCTTGGCTAACATTTAATGCCCTTTGGCTCTTATATCTGCTACTAATTCAAATAACCTTATACTGTTATCTCACCTCTCTTCTATGCAGAACTTTGCGCACATCAGTGACATTCCCTCTAAATCTTTCCTTTTCCAAAGATAACCCAGTTTATTTAAATACTTATTAGATCTCTTTCATTCTCTTTATCTTTCCGCTTTGTGTTCTGCTCTACCTTTTCTATTATGAGCTTTAGATAATAAAGGCCAAATTGTAACATCTTTCTCTTCTGGAAGAGCACAGTATCTTTCACTATGAATGATCACACTGAAGTCAAATGGGATTGCTTGTGATGTAAGAGTATCACAATCTGCCTCAAAGTGATCAGAACTGTATACATCAGTATTCCAAATTGGCTATGTGATTTTTTTGGTTTTCAAGTAAATCTCTACTTGGTGACCCAGATTATTATTATTTTGCTACTGATTAGCCCTGCTTTGGAGATTGATACTTTTGTAATCTATCCAAACTCTCCGAGCAACCTTCTACTTGGTGGACTGTGTTTTATGACCATTGAAAGTAAACTTCCGTACATCTATCTTCTTTACATTACAAATTAAGCCATTCTGCAGTGCTCATCTCATTTTTATAACATCCCCCCTCCCCCTGGCCATACTCTAGGTTGGTATAATCAGGAGGGGCCTGGTCCAGCTCCCACTGAAATCATTTGAAGAAGGATTGTGCCAATGACTGTTACTATGATCTTCCCTAGCTGCCCTTTTAAGTGCAGGTGTTATATTAGCTCATCTCCAGTCCAACAGTATCTCCCTGATCATGAAGTTTTTAAAATATATTTACTTACCTCATTTGACACATCTCTTAATCTAGGGCAGGTCCATGCAGGCCCAGATGCTGTAGTCAGTCATCAGACACTGGGGTTTCTTATTCCCCATATTCTCTCAAGACCCTGATTTTTCCTGTAGTATCTTTTCTCTCTTCCCCTGGTTACTATATGACTGTTTCTGACATCTCTTCCCTATTTTCCTTTGTGAACAAGACAAGAATGTATGCTTTTTTTCAAAATCACACCCATCACTTCAGTCAACAGGTTACCTCTTCCAACTTTGAGTCCTTACAATCTCCTTCACTTTCTCAATGAGCCCAAAGATTTTCTCTGAATTTATCACAGTCACCCTGCAGTCTTCACTTTATCTGTCTTTGTCTCTTATATGATTCCATTAATATAGTTGTGTTTTATAGTCCTTACAGCCAAATTTCCAGTAATTTTATGCAATTCCTCCTATGGTTCTAACTCACTCCTGATTAGCTCAGCCACTTGGAACTCACAGCATATTTATTGTTACATGGTATACATCACTATATGAGATTAAACTAATTCATCTTGGACCACTCTCTATTTCAGCTCCTTTCCCCCCTTTCCCTTCACTAATTTGCTTCCCTTTCACTTTACCAGACATCTCATGCACTCATTCAGAATGTGATCACAGTTCAAAGTATCTTCCCATTACAATCATATATTCTCAAAACCAGGCTGAGAAATCCTCCCTTTCTGATTCCTTCTTTTAAATATTGCATGAGCAAGCAGTCCAGTAGCCAGTCATAACTATGTTGCTCAATTTATGTCGTTCAAGTCCAGCAAGTGTGTAAGTATGCGTGTGGCTATTCAAGAAAGTAATAATTCTGAAGATCTCTCTCTCTCTTTTCCTTTTGGCTAGTCCTGGACACTTTACACCACTAAGCAACATAACATGGCTAGAGTTTAACGAATAAACAAATCAGTTAATGTACCCATTTTATGTGTATTTTGAAAAGATATATGATCCACATTTTTGCATGTAAAGAATGCATAGCTGTTTTGGTGACTAAGACCTGTGGGGCACATGCAATTCAGAGAGTCGGCCCTTGGCAGTATTTTCATCAACTGACTCCAACACAATATGCATGAATTGCTCAGCCGGCCTGCCACAATGTGCTCCCAACACAGACCTCCTCTATCTTCTTTTCTATATAATGTGGCAGCAACTTTGACTTTAGCTCCATTCACTATAACCCTGAATGCCAATTCCTTTTTTTTTTTTTTTTTTACAGTAACTCACTCATCCCCAGTACTTTAGGTTATTCTCTCTAGTGCAGTGTGGTATATCAAATGCTGGTAACAACAAGGGCATTAAAACTTATATATCTTCCAATTATATTTCAAAGATTTTTTTAGAGCACAAAATATTTTAGAAAAAACATCAGCTTCCATTGGTTATTATAACAGATGTCCCCTTGTGTCCTTGTGCTGGATCTTGCTGCATCCTTAAGTGAGAAGTCACATCAAAGTGTGATCCATTACAGCCCAAGGAATAGTTTCTAATGGTTTCACTGTCATATAGATGCTCCAGAGCATATCCAGTTAACGTGTAAGCATGCTTGTCAAAGTACTGCCTGTGTGAGGTGTAATAATTTGGAGAAGCTGCTGGATGGTCCCCTGTGGCTTGATGAGGGGACATGTCTGAATGCAGGTAGTCTTTAGCTAGTATCAAACTAGATTTAGAAATGCGGTCGGAATTTGGGCTGCTTATCCTAGACAATGTTGTGGGGCTGTTGTCATAGTCATTTTCATGTGGGCTCATAAGCTTTCCATCTCGTTGCTGGACGTGTTCACAAGGAGAGGTGTTGGCAACTGTAGGAACACGGCAGACATCCCCTGTCAACTGTTGTGGCTGGTAGTTTGCAAAACAAATAGAGTGCTTTTTCCCTGCTCCATTAATGGAGACCAGCTGATCAGGGGTTGTTTTCTGTAACTGAAGCCTGTTTTCTTCCTCTTTAATCATTTGTTGGGTAGCTCTTATTAGCGTTTCAATTTTGCTGGGCTCATGTGGACTACTTTGATACTGCTCAGTACGGTATCGGTCTCCTGATTCACTAGCAGAACCAGGATCTGGGGAGCTAACAACACTGTCCTCATCCCAGTGTCCTCTCCCTGCAGAACAGATAAAGAAAGGGAACAAGTCATCAGTTTTGGTTTGTATGTGGATCTCAGAAAGAAGGTAAACAATCTAAAGTCCTCTTTTTAATGCAATGATGGATTGTGTTGGTCTTTCTGGTTATTGTTTGCTTTACAGTATCACCTGGAGACCCAAACTGAGATAAGTGCCCCATTGTGTATAAAAGACAGTCAGTCCCTGACACAAAAAGTAGACAAGAGTCAATGTAAGTACTATTATCTCCATTTTTCAGATGGGGAACAGAAGCAAAGGTTAAGTGGCTTCCCCGAGGTCACAAAAGAAGCCCAGAGAAGAGCCAGGAATTCAAAACAGGTCCCTGAAACCCAGTCAAGTGCTTTAACCTCAAGACCATTCTTCCTACCACATAAGTGTTGTTCTCAAAATAGGCCAATTGAGCTAATTGACCCAAATATATGTGCTTGAGCTCTTAATGCAATATTTCTTCTGCAAAGGATATAAAACATCAGTTGGGCACAAAACTGCAATTCAGACTTTCTGAGTTCTAGTCCTGGGTCTAACGCCACTAGCCTTGATTTGACCAATGTACATTTACCACCCTCACCTGTAATATGCAGGTAATGCTACTTCTTCAGAGGGGTGATCTAAGGAGAAAGTCTGTTTGATCAGATTTTGAACCTAAAGGCCTGATTTTCAATGATGGTCTGTAATTTTGGGGTGTAATTAGCACCTCCAGTGAATGACAAGAACAGCTGGCAGCACTTGGCTGTCTAAGTACCTCTTTGCATCGAGAAAATCAGAAAGTGGATTGAGGCTCATCTGAAAATCAGGCCCACAACAGGCTATATACATTTTTATTCTTCTTATTATTATTATTAGACTTTGCCCTTTTAACCCCTTCTGTGCTTTAAGATGTCGGTAAAGTATATTATGAATCCAGACACTGGGTTTTTGTGTGGTCTTACATACCACATTATACATGCTGCCTGGCAATAAAAAAGAGAAACAACAAAACAGTTGCCTTTGTGTTCATAGATATAGCAGTTAGCGCTGTACTTAGTTTTGTAATGCAAGAATATTTGTTGTCTCAAACCTTTAGAATAGGAAATTTAACCGTGCTTACCTGAAGTTTCCCTTTCTTCAAGTAATAAGGCCCACAGATCTGCTACAGGGAGCATTCAAGTCAGCATGCAATAGAGTGGGTGGAACCAGACCCATCCATCACTGGCAGGAGGGGAGTAACCCTACCCCTGAAGAACCTAACAACTGAAAGAATTTCCATAGCCACGGAGGATAATACCCAACTACAGAGACAATATAATAATGGAACTGGTAAAACACCTGCTAATATGCATGTCCATTGCAGAGCCCAAGGAGGACTTCTGCAAATTACTGAATGCTATGTTTTGCCTCAGCTTATATAAACAATATTGTCTGGTTGGGAGGGCAGGATCTGTGGACCTTTATTACTCAAAGAAAGAAAATTTTCAGGTAAACACAGATAAATTTTTCTATTCTTCTTTGTATTAAGGTCCACATATCTGTAAGAATGGGATGTCATCACCAGTGTGCCTCTAGCATGGGTGATAAAGTTAATAACTGTGGGCAAATATTATATACACTCCACTCTCAGCGCATAGCTGGGATACTGTGCTGTGGAGCACTGCTGAAGGCAACATCAGTTAGCTGTATGCCCATCACCATAGTATCCAAGCACCTCACAAATATTAATTTATCCTTAATATACACTTCCGAAATAGGGAATTATTATTTATCTGTACTGCAGCAGCACTCAGAGGACCCAGTCAGGATTAGGACTCCATTATGCTGGTCACTGTACAAAGAATAAAGAGAAGATAGTCCTATCTCAAAGTTCTTAACATTAATATCCCCATTTTATAGATGGGGAACTGAAATTTAGCAAAATTACCGACCAGATTCTGAGCAGCCCCTTATCTCCCAAATGGGCCCATTGGCTTCACGTGGATGCTTATGGAGAAAGCCTTCAATGTGAGTGAAGGTATCAGAATTTGTCCCAAACGGATTATTTGTGTAAGTGTTCATCCTCAAGGGTAAGTGGCTCAAAATCTAGCCTTAAGTAACTTGCCCGAAGTCACACAAGACGTCTGAGAGTTTTTCTCTGCCCAAGACGACAGTACCTTTGCCTTTTCTGGTTCTTACTTGTTTAGAAAAGACTTGGTGGATATACTATCTGTCATGGCCAATATACGCCCATTGTTCATGGAGAGAATCAGTTGCCTATGTCCATAACAAATAGTTCTGAGCTCTCATGCTGTACATCTTCTGTCAGGGCCATGTTCCCTGGATTGTCTGTGACCCCTCAAAGAGGTGCCCTATTCTTCCAGGCTGGCAGCATTGTCATAACTGTGTCTGATTTATGAAGCACTTTTCCCACTTTCACTGATGGGTGGGATAATTTGGAATATGGAAGGGACTGAAGAAAATTCTGGAGAGTTCTCAGTTTGTCTGTGGTCCACTGTAGTGTATCTATGCACAATGCTATCATGCCCAGGAGGAACATGAATGACTGTACTAGAGGCACTGTAGTACAACTGACTTCCTGTATGAGTGTTTACAGTTTGTCTTGCCACTCCTCCAAGAATATCACTCTATGCTTATTTGGAATCCAGATCTTACACTGAGCATCTAGGATCACTTTAGCTCTGGATGGGACCCTGAGGAAGGGATAAATATGGTTCCCTTCTTGTTTGAGAGCTATTATTAGGACCATTAGTGTCTTTGCACACTATCCAAAAGGTAAGGACTTGTGTTGGAAGTGATGTTATCCTTTGACATAGCATGATAACTTTCTGTGGGATGGTAATGGTAGAATATGGACTTATGTACCTTTCGGCTACAAGCAACAGAAAATTATTGCTGATTATTGCTAGGATGAATTTCAGAGATTCCATCTTGAATTTCCATTATTTTTAAATGTGTTCAAATGTTTAAAATCCAGCACTTCGCTGCTTCTGCCCAATCTCTTTATAACTCTTTTTGAACAGGATGGAGCATAGGTCTTTGCCCTCCTCGTAAGAGGAGACTGATTCTATAGCCCCTTATCTATACGGAGAAGGTGTAAATAGCTTTTTCCTCTCCCATTTCTTTCCTGGAAAGGTTGAGTTAGAGTAGAAAATGAATCGGTGTCTAGGTCTCTTATGAAATTCTAATGAGTATCTCTTCTGGAGAGGTCCAGGACATGTTTATCCAATATGAACAGTGGCCATTGTTCTGCACACTGGAAAGGATATGATATTAAGGAGGCTGGATATTGTCTGATAAACTACAACTTCCTCCAATCTGTTCTTTCTCTCTCTACTGTTCTGGTTTTCCCTCTAGTTGTACAAAGAAAGGCTTTTTAATATTTGAAATGTGGCTTTTTCTCTCTTCTTTACTGCCTGCCAAAGGCTAATGTTCTTTTGTCTTCTCCAAATACTCTACTCCCCCGCCCCCCCACCCCACCCCGGGAGTTTGTCAGTTCTCCAAAATGCATTCTGAGAGAGTATTTTGAAACACATGAGAGATGTTCTCTTGCACTTGTGCTTTCTACAAGGGAAACCAGAAGCAGAACATTGTATTGTAACCTATTGTTCTTGCTGAGAAATGTAGTGCATCAAGTGATGCATCTAAAACCAATTCTGTCACCAAGAAGATTTTTCAGACAAAGGGCCCTAGACCACAAGTTTCGTTGGTCTTGAGGAGAATGAGATGCTAAAACATCGCAGGCAAAATATTTGGAGGCAGTTGAAGCCCTCAAGGTTGGCCAAACTGGCCTCATAATTTCTTCTAAGGCATGAATCAACTGTCCAGTCCACAGAACCCTTGGAAGAAAATCCCCCTTTGTGGGGATCGCTGTGTCCTTTACAAGAAAGAAAAGAGCTGAGTTCATTTGGGGGAGAAACACCACGTTTTATGTAGACAAAGGTACTTTTTAGAACCTTTTGTCTTGTTTGTTTAACCTTTCTTGGCTTTGGAGGAGACACCCATTTCTCCTTAGTGACATCCTCCAGGGCTTCATGAAGAGGGATGTATGGTTCCAGTTTAGATCCAGATGAGAAATATTGTGTAGTCTTTTCTGATGAGATACAAGAGGTTGATTCCAGTAGTTTGGAAGTATCTTTCCTTGACTCCTTCCGTGCTCTGATCTTCTGATGCTGATCTTTGTGGAGTAGATGTGGAGTTGCCACTTGCTATTTCTCCAGCATGGCCTGCCCTGGCACAAGAGGCCTAGGTGACTCCTGCCTGGAATGAACCATTACTGAGGGGCCTGCCCACAAAAAGAGGGGAGAAGTGTAGAAGGCACATTAATTTTGCTTTCCCCTTCTTGCTTTGACCACCATTATTAGCTTGTTATGGGTGACAATGCACTGTCACCACTCAAGTACACCTCAGAAAGAGAGAAGAGAAAAATCACATTCTTACCCAAAGAAGCAGCTCTGGAAGCAAAGTTCAAATGTTTTAAGTCCAGTCAGTTCAAAGGGGGGTTGTCTGGGGAAAGACTGATGCTCTGTAGTAGTGTGGTTTGGAACTGCCTGTCTGCAACTGTGGAGGCAGAATGAAACTGGTAGGTTCTTCAGAACATGGGGCATTCCCTTCCTGATAGTGACGGAGAGGTCTGGTTCTGCCCCCAAAGCTACATGCAGGCTGAAGATCCACTGTAATAGATCTGTGGAGCTTCATACAATGAGGAATTGGCTCCATGTCTAGTTGGCAGCCGGTGTCAAGTGGAGTGCCCCAGGGGTCGGTCCTGGAGGCCGGTTTTGCTCAATATCTTCATAAATGATCTGGAGGATGGTGTGGGTTGCACTCTCAGCAAATTTGCGGATGATACTAAACTGGGAGGAGTGGTAGATACGCTGGAGGGCAGGGATAGGATACAGAGGGACCTAGACAAATTGGAGGATTGGGCCAAAAGAAATCTGATGAGGTTCAATAAGGGTAAGTGCAGGGTCCTGCACTTAGGACGGAAGAACCCAATGCACAGCTACAGACTAGGGACCGAATGGCTAGGCAACAGTTCTGCGGAAAAGGACCTAGGGGTGACAGTGGATGAGAAGCTGGATATGAGTCAGCAGTGTGCCCTTGTTGCCAAGAAGGCCAATGACATTTTGGGATGTATAAGTAGGGGCATAGCGAGCAGATCGAGGGACATGATCGTCCCCCCTATTCGACATTGGTGAGGCCTCATCTGGAGTACTGTGTCCAGTTTTGGGCCCCACACTATAAGAAGGATGTGGATAAATTGGAAAGAGTCCAGCGAAGGGCAACAAAAATGATTAGGGGTCTGGAACACATGACTTATGAGGAGAGGCTGAGGGAACTGGGATTGTTTAGTCTGCGGAAGAGAAGAATGAGGGGGATTTGATAGCTGCTTTCAACTACCTGAGAGGTGATTCCAGAGAGGATGGTTCTAGACTATTCTCGGTGATGGAAGAGGACAGGACAAGGAGTAATGGTCTCAAGTTGCAGTGGGGGAGGTTTAGGTTGGATATTAGGAAAAACTTTTTCACTAGGAGGGTGGTGAAACACTGGAATGCGTTGCCTAGGGAGGTGGTGGAATCTCCTTCCTTAGAAGTTTTTAAGGTCAGGCTTGACAAAGCCCTGACTGGGATGATTTAATTGAAGATGGGTCCTGCTTTTGAGCAGGGGGTTGGACTAGATGACCTCCTGAGGTCCCTTCCAACCCTGATATTCTATGATTCTATGAATTATCTGAAGCATCTGGAATAAAAGTTAAACTAACAAACAAATCAAAACCAAGCTCTATTTTCAGCTTTTTTTGATTGTCTGTGGTAAAAAAGTGATAAATATATTTTTATCATATCTGTAAGAACTACACTATATCCATAAATAATATTTTACATTACACCATGAGCATGATCACCAACAATTATAACATGAGAAATTTATTTTTTATATATATATGTCTGTAGCTACTGTGAAATCAACTCACACATCTCTATTCTCATATTAGGAAGAAAAAGCTAGCTGAACTCATGAATATCAGCATTAGGGAGCAGAATACAAGGAAGTGCCATAGCTTATCACAAAGAGAAAGCCGCAGAACAGTACTAACCAAAGGAAATTAGAGGCCTCTATTCTTCCTTCTCTTTCTTTCAGACTGTATTTCCTTGAATCTGCTATTTCATTTTCTCTCTCCGCATAATTTTTTTCTTATTGGAATGAAACAGTACCTTTTCTTTCTGAACTTATAATGCCAGATGCTAAAAGTCAATGGAGCTATTCCAATTTACAAAAGCTGAAGATTTGGCCCTATATAAAGTGCTATCATGGGTTCTTTAGGTAATACCTAGTGGTGCAATCCAGTTCTTTTTTCAATATGCACAATTACTGCAACAATGGACTGCCACAAATAGTCTATAATTATCTCTATGCTTCTCATGGCTTTTTTTTTTTTCGCTAATTTGTATATGAAACATCTGCAGCACAAGGTAGGTTGTGATGGATAACCCTCAAAAAGTTTGGAAGTACAATTTGGTTTGGATAAGCACCTGGTATTCTGAGTGTTTATGTGAATTTTATCTAAACCTCTTGACTCTATCAAATCAAGATCAGGGTTTCTTTTGAAGTTTCCAATACTCCTTGCCTTTACTCTGGCTGGAATTACTTGGAAGAAACTCTTCCTTGGGTTTTTTATCCAGCATATTTACTTCTAGTCCAAGACAGGACCAGTGGAAGGGATCAAAACTTTAAAAAGTAAAAAAAAGAGGGGGAAAAAATATCTCCAATTTTTTTCAAACTTCAAAACATATTAAATTTAGGTTTGGTTCTGGATAAAAGTTTGGGTTAGTTCTTATTCTATCCAAACTTGCACAGCCTTCACTCAAGGTAATAAAATACGTATGCTAAGAGCACTTCTTCACATGTTTGCTATGATTTCACTTATTATGTGTTCCTAACTAAATTTCACATTTAAAAAAATATGGAACAAATAGAATATTTTATTATTTAGGCGAGATCATCAAAACCAGACTTGCACCTTTACAACTCCCAGTTCATACACATGAACCCTGACTTGAGCACACACATCAGGAATCACATGTATACAAGTCAGGCATGTTCAAGTCAGTCCTTTGAAATTCTGCCTCTATACTGCAATACCATCATTTCAGCAATTATCTCTTACCATGTATTCTGTGAACTGAAGTGATGTGGGGCATGCTGTTTTCATATGCTTCTCTGCTTTCAGGGGAAGTTTTTGTCAGGGGCAATGCTGAACGAGAACCCCACCAAGTATCCCTTCCAGGCTGTGGTGTGCCCAGGAAATATCTACCAGCCTCACACCTGCCTCCTTCACAGGCCTGAGTATGGAAATGTCTATCATCGGTCAACCTGGAATGGTCAAGTGCAAAACCATAGCAGAGAGAGCTGCGGTCTGAGTACTGTCTATAGGCACAGGAGACGTCATGGTGTTGAGAGCTTGGCCTTTCAGCAGGTTCCATTAATTGTGGAGAGGCAGTATCAGTTAGTGGACTTCCACCCCATTGGCTCTCATGGTCAGATTCAGATCTTTCTGTGTGAAATCCAGAATACTGTAACACAAAAGGAAAGGCAGAGGCATAACTAAACCAGAACAAGACAACATAAGCAACTAGACTGGGGGAAAAGGTTGCTCTTCTTCTGATGGGGACACATCTCACAGTCTTTTCCTGTACAGCATTCTGTGATGAGCCCATACCCAACAAGGCAGACATTAGAAAAGTCTGAAAACATTCCCCTCTCCCCTTTAAAAAGCCCTCTTATGACTTGTAAAGTCTAGCTCACCAAATTCAACACTGATGTTCAATAGTTCAATACTTCAGCTCCCTTCTTCCATTCAAAAGCAGTTTTAAAATGGATTGAAATAACCTCTCGCCCTGGACACGCGCTCATCTCCAAACCAAAATTGAACCTGTTTTGAAATTCCTATTTCATGATCCCTATCCCTTCCACATATCTCGCTTTCTCACCTGTGGTGGCAGGTCTTCTCAGAGTTTCCTTTCTCACCCACTGCTGATGGAAAGGAAGGTTCCGGGGCACTCAGGGATTTCAAAATACTGTGGAGAAAAGCTCCAGAGTGCTCCTAAATTTTAAAGCAGTGGATCAGCAGGACCCCAAAGGGTTACACTGCCCTCCTGCATGAAAGCAAGGAAACAAACTACTGGAGACTATTTATCAGAAGCGGAGACTATTTACCAGAACAGGGGAAGAGGGTTATCTGGTCACCCCCACTTGAGAATAGTACTGAATCGTGGGGGAGGAGAGCACAAAAGGCAGACAGAATCAGGACCTGTCAAGGAGGAGCAAGATATATGGGGCCAGTTGGAGCAAGGCTTGTGCTTAGCGAGAATTAAAGGTAATGCTACATTTAGGATAAGCATATGAATTTCTGGATGCTTTTCTGAAAAAGTAATGCTTATTATAGCTTATGTATATTTCTATTAATTTGTGCCATCAAAATATATGGATCATTTTCTTACATCAGCTATACCCAAGATCATGGAGTGGGATGGGACCAAACATGCAACTCTCATCTCTCTAGTACTGCATATCAATGCCACAAATTGTAAGTTTAAAAAGAAAAAAAAAGAGGGAAAAAGAGATCTCCAATTTTTTTCAAACTACAAAACATATTAAATTTAGGTTTGGTTCTGGATAAAAGTTTGGGTTAGTTCTTATTCAATATGCTTAAAAGAACCTGTAATTCTCAACTCCTCTCACTCCCCCGGTAAATACCCAGTAACCTTTTCTTTTGGTACAAATCAAATCTCTTTCCTAAAAACATAAGCTACCATCTCTTTCATTAAACTGAGTTGCTATGAAACTCTTCATTATCAAACAGAATCAAGGTCAATGCACTTACCAATCAAAACTACTGACCATATGTTTAACTTCAGGAAAGTTAAACCATCTGTGCAACTCCAGCAGTGGAACTATTTGGGTAGGAAGGGGGGCAGGGTTGTGTGTGTGTTTTTAATTGCTTATTTCTGCAGCATTTTGAGTTATGAACTTTGTTTGCTGACAAAAAAGGCTAATATGAGTCTAACCGAGAAATGGTAGCAGCTTTGCATAGGCCAATCATGTTTTGTTATTTGTTCACAAAAGAAAATTCAATGCAAAAAGACCTACATACAGACTTACGGGCAGAAGATATGCGGGGTAGAGTAAAGACTAACAGTCCAGTACAACCCTATTTATCTCTCAGTCTTAGGGGACACCAGACCCTTTCAGATATATAGGGTTTTAGATGAAGGTGAGGGAACAAGAGGCAACAAATTAGTCTCTTTAAAACCAGTCTGGAAAACCATCCAACATTCTGAGCCTGGGATATAGGCTTCTCGGCCTTTGTTGGCTGCCCTTAGCTGGGATATAATATCATGATATTATATCTTACTCTAGCTTAGCTCACATAAATGGACTTCAGTTAGCTGTGAATTTTTGTTAATTGGTGTAGCATTGTGTGCCAAACTAGTAAATAAACTCTTCTCTGCTCTTCCTAGCACAAACATCCTCAAACTTTTCTGTGACAAGGACATAGAGTTTGTTTTGAAATTTTTTCATAAAAAAAATTAATTGGCAAAAATACGGCTTTTCAACTAAAACAAAAGTTTTAAAACACAAAAATTTATTTTGGTCACTTTTTTAAAAAAATTTTCCACACAAAAATGGAAACCAAAAAAATGAAAATGCTCCAGTAAAAGTTTTCACTAAAAATAAAAAATGCTTTTTGGTTCAGTTTTTAGATTGCAGTTTTCAAAAACTGAAATTTTTTACCAAAAATAGAATGGTTTCAGTGTTTTATTTTAAAAAAAGATGTTTTTTTTTTCCCAAAAAAAGTAAGATTTCACATGAAAAATAACTGGCATTAAACTGGTTGGGAATTTTTTGTCAAAATGAATTTCCAATGGAAAACTGCAATTTTCCATAGGAAGGGGCAGTAGGGGCACCAGGTTTCCAAACCACTACTCCCATGAGGCAATGCTCCACAATGGGGAAAATGCAGTTTAATGATGTACTGACTAGAAATGAAGTGTTTTGACATTCCCAGATCAGAATGTTTAATTTCAATCAAAAATGTCAAAATGTTACATTTCAATATTTCCAAATAGCAATTTTTCAGAATTTCAGTTCTAAAAAAGTTTTTGAAATTTCAACTTTTCATTCCAATTTGGGACAACAACAAAATGTTGAAATGTTAGAATTTCTCACAGGAAAATTCCAAATTTTGCTCAGCTTTCATGGGTATTTTTTTCTCCTGGCTCTATTATGCAGCTATATTGCTACCAACATGGAAAGAGTTTTTGTCACTAATATATATATTTAGGTTGCAGTGACAATTTGTTTGACTTCTGTGGGGATCTTCTTCACATAGGTAAAAATAAGAGTGAATTCAACAGGTCTTACACACTTATCTCACAGAGCAGGGAACTATTCCAAAGGGCACATATCCAATGTGTGAGAAATGCACCAGGTAATGGGCGATATAGCCATGTAACCAAAAACAGCAAGACTTTGTACTTGATGTAAAGGGTTGTTATCTGAGATCTGATCTGGTGCAGCTGCTAGGCCCTGGGCCAAATTAAATTAACACAATGAGTTTTTGTGGCCCACATGGTCTAGAAAGCCTGCCTGTATATGACAGCATATCCTCAGTCCACAGCACAGGCAGACATAACCTAAAACATTTTCTTTTAAAGCTTCTCCACTTGGCATTGTCAGGCTGTCTCTACTGCTGCCTTCCCACCCTTATGTCTTCTGGGAACATAATGTTCACAGGTGGGGATCACTTAGGTGGGTAAGGGTGACTTTCCTCAGTGGTAGTTGGAGTAGGGTTGTAAAGCAGCAGCTCCAAGCTCTGCTGAAACAGAAATGAAAATGGCACCTCTCAAATTAGAATTAGGCTCAATTAGCCCAAGTGATGAAAGGGCACAGAAAACTGAATTTGGTTTCAATAGCAATCTGGCCAATCAGAAGCACTGAAACCATTGTTTTCTGTAAAGAAACTGCTCCTGCATAATTGAAAGTGTGCTGCTTTGCTCATTTTTCTCCGTGTCTGCTCTCAGGCAGTACTTTTTAGACATGTGGCTTGTCTAATCAAATTAGGAGATAAAGGTTGGGACAAGATGAAGGACTTCTTTGGCCTGAGGCAACACCTGAAATCAATCACACCTTCCAAAGCTAAAAATATAGTTGGCAGAAAAGGAACAACTACGAATTCAAATGATCTATTTCAGACCACTTCCAGTCCTCCAACGGCTTCCTGCTGGGCTGCCAGCTCCTGATAGACTGACCTGGCACTTCCAGACACTGGAGCTGTCTTCCAAAGCACTAGTTCAGTGTGCCAGCCTGATGAGAAGTGATCAGAGGATTTGCATCAACCCAGCAAGGGATCTTTTGGACTCACTGATGCTCCTTTTATCCCAGGAGAATTTTCGGGAGGGTTTTATTTTGGGGGATAGAAAGAGGAAGAAATCAATCCTCCCATGGCTATCTAAAGCTTAGTTTAAGAGAGGCCATAAAAATGTAGTAGGCTACAATATTTTTGTCACTTTTCCCCATCAGACACACACCTGATCTCTCATGCCATAATACCAAATACAAGTGTCTCTCTGGCCTCAGCCCCCATCTTTCCATAGATAGCAACAGCAGCCAGCTTCACACACAATGCCAGATGTTCATGCGATGGATGTTACAGTTACCTAATTTCCTGGCAGCCTGCTCAGGTTTTTATCATTATAAACTGTTAAATATATAGTGAAATCCTCTCAGAGTGGAGTCCTCTTTTCCATGAAAAACTTTCACTAGATGCGGCATTAGCAGCTTTTCCTCTTGATTTGTGTCTTAGCCATGAGAAAAAACATCACAGATGCGGGCTGCATTGTACTAAGAACATATGCATGCTTTTAAATCACTTTTATCTTACTTTTTACTAATGTAACCCTGAAATGTAAAATATGTTCTTTTTGTATTCACTATTATAGGCAGAACAGATGGTGAAAGGCTTAGATTAAAGTAATACAGCATGTCCATTAAAATAACCCCCACTGCTGGTAAGTCTTCACCAGATCAGGAGTTATGTTTACTATAAAAAAGGGTTTTGCTTTGCTGTTTGGAATACATTGATAGTTGCCAAAGCTTTAGGCTACAGCAAGAAACAGTAAACAAATAAGAGGCTGTCCAGCAGGGGCCCAATCCAAATGTCCTTACATAGCCCTTTAAAACAGTGGGTGATTTGGCTGAGTGAGAATGAGTAAGGGCTGCAGAATGAATCCCGACCATTCCTTTTTAGTGGAAGTAGAGCAAAATTGGCATCAACATCAATTGCATGGCAACTTAGCAATAATTAATGTGCACTTATAGGGTAGTGTTATTGCTACAGTAAAAAAAGTATATGGTCTAATAATTACTAAAAACCCAACAGCTATTGAATATAGTCTTCGCCAAAGAGAACTAAGGAAGAGGTTTAGATGAAACAATAAAGGCTGATCAAAATCTGACCATAAAATGTTTCCATCAGAGGCTGAGAACTTTCAACTTTTCCTTTAAATGATCATTACTAATGGAAGATTAAACTCCAAAGCAATGGTTCAGACGATCACAATTAAAATGTTTTGCCAATCTTGTTGCTATTTCCTGTGTACAGAATAAATGAGGCCTAGGGCTAGCTCTTTGGGATATAGAATAAATGGAGGTCCAGAGCTAGATTTTGGGAGAACCCAAATAGATTTATAGTAATAGGGCAGAGGAGGAGGAAAGGGACATCCTTTAGCCAACTCAGTCATTCTTTTCTCTAATAACCCCATCGGTCTCTTATCCCTTCTCCTATATTTAATCAGGCTTCACAAGCAGAGTACTGATCAGTGCATTCAGACAGCAGCAAACCCCACAATCACATAATGAATATTGGTCTGCCCTTCTCCCATCCTGAGGCAGGCTTTGCAGGTCCCTGTTCTGCTATAGTCAATTTGAATTAAACAAATTCTGACAAGAATTGAAATTCGACAAAGTCACTTTTAGTGAAAGAGAGTCTAGTAGAAGGATTCTGCTCTGCAAATACCCTAGTCCACCTTATTCAGCGATAACGTGAGGTTTGAGAAAAATTTTAACAGTGTGTTAAGTGAGCCGAGCTCCTCTCCTCCTGCCCAAGTAATGACCATGCAACTGAGACTTATTAAAATCTGTTTTTCTTACAGTCCCCATCTCACGTAGCTGCCCTAGTGGTACACAGCTGGCAAAGGAGTAGATTCTCAGGCATCACTCAGTAAAGCATATTTTTCCCCGTTTTTCTTCTAAGAGTAAGGAAGCAAGGCAAAAAAAAGAAAAGTACACACATTTTAAAACCATCAAAAACACCCACTGACAGCTGGGTAACCCCAAGGGATCTCCATGTCCAATGGCACTAATTTTAGTAAGAATCCCCCCCCCCCCCCCCCCCCCCCCCCAAAAAAAAAAAAAAACAGGCTCTGTATGTGAGCCAAAACCCTTACCGTCATTTTATAACCATGCTTTTGAGTCACTCTCCAATTCTCCACAACTGAGTGACAGATTATGTGGGCTGGAAACTGATGGGCACAGGCAATACCACCTGCTGCAAGTTCTTTACAACAGCTTTGGTTGGTCTTTCAACAGTTTATTCAGTGACTGGAAGGGATGAGGTACAGACAAGCTGCCAGCATTGCTTGTGGCGGGGTGCTATAATATACAGTATGACTGTTTTTCAATAAATTGACAACCAGCACTGTTGCCGCTTTATATATGACAAAACCTCTGGTTTTACTACCAGTTTAACTGGTGATAAGGATGTAAATTGAATTGGAGACTAGCCATTCAGGCAATAACCACTACTAAATTAAGGCCCAAATGCATGAAGGTTGCTAAAGGTGCTAGCAAACGAAAAATGTTGGTGGCAAGGAAGAGGAATCTGTATGGATACTAATCTCACGTAAGAGAGAGAGAGAGAGAGAGAGAGAGTTGGGGGGTAGGGGGGCGCCTTTGGATGAAACTAAGAGTAGTGAACACTATCAAGGGACAGTGCAAAACAATGGATGAGTTCAGATGTCCAAAAGATAAAACAGTTGAATATCTCATTGGGAATATTTTGTAGATACAATTTTGAGAAATTGTAAACACATTTTATTAGAACTGTTCATTGTGGAGCATTCAAGAGGAAAGGCTCTTCTGGACCAAGTCCTGAGTAACACACACAAGTGTAATGTGATCAAAATATGAAGTAACAGTAACTATAATGGCCATTTTCAAAACTGGCTTCACAAAGTTAGGAATCTGAGTTCACCCTGAGGTGCCCAAATAAGTATCCCCATTATCAAAAATGCTTGATATCCAGCAGCTCTCACTGCAGTAAGTTAAAACTGCTGGGTCCTTTTGAACTTTTGAAAAACAGGCCACTTATTTAAGCACCACAGTATGAACTCGAGATCCTCACTTTAAGAACCCAGTTTTGCAAATATTTGTCTTGCAGGGGAATCATATCAAGAGGTAACACTATGAGCCAAATATTCAACTGGATTCCTTACAGGCATCCACAGTTATCTGACTGTGCACCGCGTATTCATGCAAGTATCTCCACTTGGGGCACTTGAGTAAGGCCCACAGGACTGGGCTCAATATTTGGTAGCCACAACAGTTTGTATGCTCAACAAACCATACCTTCCTGATCAAATATGGGGTTCTGTGCAGCCAAAGAGTTGTATGAACAGATTTTTGCAAACGTGTCTTTGGAGAGCCATTGGAAAATTGACCCCACACAATAGTCAGGAGATTTTTTTTAAATGTAAGCCTGAATATGAAAAAAAGGGAATTAATGTCTATTGAAACCTAACACCATCTGCCTGTGTTTCCTTTTTCCATTCACAACTTTGTGCCTGGAGGAACCTTCTTCCTCCAGTGCACCAAGCATCATCATCCTGACCCTTCCCAGAAACTCACTTCTTTTAGCAAACATTTCACCACTAGTCTCCACTCACGTGCTTCCTACTGCCTTTCCTTCTCCTGATAATTATAGGGCTAGAAAAATAGCTTATGAAAAAATAGGATCATACCATAACTGGATCATTCAAATGGGCACAACTCAAAGTCCCCAGATACCAAACAACAAAAATGCTACACCAAGAGCTTTTTCAACTCTCCAGTTGTCACTCACCTATGAAATCCCCACCATATATTATTGATGATGATGATTTATTGATGCTGCACCATACTGTACATGGTATTTTACAGACAATTAACAACACATCCCTACCCTCAAGATCTTATAGTCTAAGGACCCAATTCTGCCACCCTTTACTCATATTGAGGAGTACTTTCCTCAGCCCTTTCTAATTTCCTGCTTGAAAGTCAGCCAAAATCAAGTTATGCAGTAAAGAAAGCTTTGTAATATAAATATGTTGTTCAAAGACAGCTACCTGTGGATACGGTGATGTCCTTGATTTTGACTTTGTGCTTGAGAGCCGTGATTTGCTTCCCTTTCTATTGTCCGTTATGGTTGGAGTTGAATTTGCGTATGAGAATGATGGCTTGGTTGCTGTCACTTGATCCAGGGAGAGTTGTAGTCCTTTATATTCGGTATCCCTATTAAAGGCAGAAGTAGAAGACATAAACTCACTCAATATCTTAGTCAGACCCGTTTTCCTGTTTGATGGGGGATGGAAACAATTAGTATCTGGGGTGGGGACATCCAGGACAACTGTATAGCTTTAGTTTTTCTCTACAATATGTATAATTAGAAAAGCCTAAAAATGAAACTAATGTCTCATTCTATTATACAGAGAAATAGTGGACTCAGAAGTAGAGCTGGTCAGAGAAACTTTGACATAACCATATTCCATTGGAATATATGGTTCCTTTGAAATCAAAATGCTTCATAAGATTGGTTGGTTGGTCCCAGAATTTCATTTTGGAAGGAAAACAGGATAAAAGTTTTGCCAGTGTCAAAACAGACTGTTATGACATTTTTGAAACAAAATATTTCAATCACCCCAAAATGAATTTTTTTTCTGGAATTTTCCTTCACAGAGCATTTCAAAAATTTCAGGTTTCACTCAGATTCAGAGCCAAAAAAATCTTCACAAAACGGAACTCCTGTCTTTCGCACAGCATTACTCAAAAGATGTGCAGACAAGTAACAAACGCTGTGCTATGCAGTTATCAGAGAATAAAAGAATAAAAGAAGGGGCCAGATTCTCCAAAGTTGAATGATCGCACATACACACTGTCAAAGCTGTTTCTTTGCTCAAAGTGAATGTTAAAATACACTTGTTTAATGTTTCATGATAAAATCATTCAGAACACTATGTTACTGGGAGGGAGGGGAGAGGAATCCTCCACTCCAAAAAATATGCATATTTCACGGTCTAGGTAGAAGCTGGCAGTAGCTATGGTGGCACACATTTAAAAAATGACTTTCCTATGACTATTTCATGACTCTAAAAAATGTCTACACAAAAAAAAAAGTGTCCCAGTTTTTTTATTTTGAAAATATGGTTACCTTATACACTGCATTCTCCCCATCTTGGAGCTCCACTTTCTTCAGTAATACAAAGCAGTGATGATGGGGACTTTTGAAAATATTACAAGGCAGTGAGTTTGTAGCTATGCAGTTAAAGGGGTGTGGATGGTGGATTTTGGTTTTTTTTAAAACTGACACATATACAACTACCAGTGACAGAACAGTAAATCAAGGGATTTGTGAATATTATTTTGGCAATCTCTGAATTCAGACTGCTGTGATTTGTGAGATCATGAATATTGATGAATATTTGTGAATATGTTTGCAAATCGTGAAACTTTCACAAAATATCCATCCAAAAATTTACTATTCATTATTCCCCCGTTTAAAGATCTTCAATAATACAATCAGGGAGAATTAAAAAAAAATACCATAAAACTTAAATGACGAATCACTGAGTAGCCAAAAATACCAGTTCACAAAGTCAGAAGGTTATTTACTCCAACTTTTTAGTGAATAGTGTATACAAATACATTCTAAGAAAATCAGCAATAGTTCATACTGAAAAAAGAAAAAGGAGTACTTGTGGCACCTTAGAGACTAACCAATTTATTTGAGCATAAGCTTTCGTGAGCTACAGCTCACTTCATCGGATTTGCTCACCAAAAGGGGATAAATTCTTAGGATAGAATTATGCCCTTGATCTATGTGACTCTGTGAGGAGAATAGGAAGTGAGCAGCCCCCATCTTTCTGCATGATCACGTAGAACCTACTCTGATCATGTCTTGTGGAGAAGGAAGAAAGTAAGAAGCTGCATTCCTCATCCTGCCTCCCACAAACCAGCAGGGAAGTGGGAGGAGCCATGGCTCAGCCTCTCCTTTGTGCCAGTCAACAGAGCAAGAGGAGGACAGGGGAGGAATTGTGACTCACAATTCTTTTCTGGGGCAATGCAATTGCACATTGCCTCATACTCAGAACTGAATCTAAAGGTTCAGTCTAGCCCTTAATGAAAACTATTAACAACAAATCATTCAACAATCTCTACCTACCGTATCCTGAACCATAATCATACATACATTGATGTAAGCCATGCCAGTTAAAAATATACACGAACTGTGCCCCAGCCTCTGCATCTCTCTGCTTAGTACAATGAAACTCCTTCAAATAAATACCATGGCTGCAGGGACAAACCTGATAAATGACTGAAAGCTTCCATATATTCAAATGATTAAATATAATGAATCTCTGAATAGCTACACAAATAAACCTGCTGAACAGACAAATTAATTTATGGTCAATACATCTGTTTCCAGACTAAAACTTGTTTGTACCAGGTAATCAACAAACCTGTTAGTAGAACAGATTTCCTATTGAAGGCCTTGTCTCTCTGACAAGAAACATACCGTACAGTATAAATAAGCCACTGTAATTAGAGCAGTAGCTGGGTACAGTATCTCCCGTTTACAACAGACAGATGTTTCCACAGTGTATAATTAACTTTTTGTAATGCTTAGCTACTTCTTTGAGGAATTCATGTCTCCAAACTGTGCCATATTTGGATCTGTGTTTCAAATACCCCAAATATTGAGAGTGTTTGGATCCAGGATTTTGATTTGTCTTATTGGAGAAGTAAAGCCCGGAAACAAAATTTGGAGCTCTGTTTTTATCCTCATTAATTTTGGGAGTGTTTGGATTCAGGGTTGTGGTGCAAGCCTATCTCTACGCACAAGGCATCTGTTTCTGCACAGTTGAGTACTACCAATTTTCTCTTCAATTGCATGAAAGGTCAAATGCAATATTAAAATGAAGGATGCTAACATTCTGTAGCTAGTCTTTACGTTTAATTATTAAAACATCCCAATGTATTTATCAGTGGTCTTCAAAAAATGTTCATAACTTCCAACTATGACCGAACACCTTTCCAGTGGCAACAGGACAGCAGGGAAAATTAATATTAGGACAAAACTAAGGAGACAAGATGTTCACAACTTTACTGGTAAGCACCAGGGTTGTTTTCTTAGTGTCTCTGTCTTCTGCTCCCCCAGTATCTATATGATTTAAATGGCTAATACAACTTTGTTGGCTATCCACTCCTCCTACTACAACCTAGCCCTCTTAGCTCCATGTCCACCCTGGAACAGAAGCCTTCACAGGAATGCAAAGTACCCCTTCATTATAACAAAGAAGAAGATAAAAGGAGATGGGATGAAATGGCCCCCCATCACTACTTGCATCACAATCCACTACTCCAATACCATCCTCTGACAGCTGCGCCTGTTTAAGGACCAACATTTAAATCTTCCAAGCTACAATGCAGGACAACACTGCCAGGCCCTCAGGATCTGGGGAACTGTAACACCAGCACCTTAAAATGACCTTGAATTGCAATACCCCATCCCTTCCCTAATCTCCACTATCACTGGGTTGAGAAGATGTCCCACAAGAACACCATACACTAGGATAAATCCTAAAGCTAACTGCTCAGTCAGTAACCTCAGTAAACAGAGGCGAAGAAGAAAATAAGAGCCTGAAGCTCTTGCAGCTGAATGCAAAGTCAGTGGTCACCATCTATCATCTCATTTTGGATGGAGCACATGGCCCTGCTTACATCATTAAGACATGGTTCAATGCCACCTGCAACCCTACCCCACTAATCCCCACAGGATACTCTACATCACAACTCAAGACAGATTTCAGAATGCAACAGAAAAAAGACAAGACATTGAGTAGCAGTTCTGCTCCCCTCCAATCTCAGATGCAAAAGACAGTTCATCTAAGACACAACAACATCTGATTGAATCCATATGATCTGTGAGGCAAACGATAAAAGGAACATCAGACTGATAGTAAGGTACGTAACTGCAGCTGAAAACTCAGTCATCTTCATGGACGAACGTACAGAGCTGCTGCCCTCCATGGCATTGGAATCCCCCAGATGCCTTGTCTTCAATTACCTCAACCTTCAGATAGACTGTCTCAGTGATACAGTAGCACTTGATCTCATGGCCCATATGAAAACCATAGGATTCTCCCAGTCAGTCTCCAACCTACACATGCAGCCAGACATTATGTTAGATCCAGTATCCAGTGCTAGGCTAAAGATATCAACAACATACCACTGTCCTGGTCTGGTCACCATCTATCCAGGCAGAGGTCAGAGCTTTCCCTCCCTCCCACTAGGGTAGTGAGCAACCAAAGCGGATCTGCTCCTGAAATACTCCAGAGCTTCCTCAATTTCCAACTCACCCTATTTGAACAAGCCACCCAAATACAAGGCCAATGCACCAATGAGTTAGTACAATACACAGTCACTTCTCTCCACTACTATTGATGCCTTGGCCCCAAGCTAGCCACTCACCCACAGTGATCAAGAAGATCACAGTGGTTCACAGATGAACTACAGCAGATTAAGCACACGGGCACAAAGTTAGAATGGCAGTGGTGCAAAAATACATTCTGACTCCCTCCACCTGCAGCACAAACACCCACAGGACAACTCCACTACTATAACGGAGGCACAACCAACCTTCTACCCCTCCCCAATTAGCACTGCAGAATCATGGCCAGACAAGTTATTTTGCATAGTGAGCTGGCTAGTCAGCCCAGACTGCATAGCCCCGACACCAGACCAAGCATTGACTGTTGTGAAGAGCTGTCTCCACTGATAAGATCAACCAAACACATATTGAGCTAACTGGGGAAAAACTCCACCCCAACCAGGTTGTATTATCCATCCCATTACCCCAACTAATTTTGGTCCCATCACACATGCCAAAGCTCAGGAAGCTCTGAAAAATACCAGAGCTACAGATGAAAATGCTCCACGCTCCTGTGAAAAAGATCCATTCCCCTCCTGGCTGGTAATAGCCAGTGAAGAACTATGCCTGCAACTAACAGAAGTAGTCAATGTCTCCTTTCGAGAAGCACAACTACCAAACTCCTTGTAAAATGCAATAGTTATCCCAGTCCTCAAGAATCCAACACCTGGAAGATCTCTCCAGCTAGTGTCCTGTCTCCAACCTCCCATTCCTGGGCAAAATAAGTGAGAATGTAATAATCACCAAACGCTAACATGTGACATCAGCCAACATCCAGGATACCTCACAATCAGGGGTCAGACCA